CCCAGCATCCTGCCCCTCTCCCCGGCAGCCTCAGCCTCCCGTTCTCCTCCCGGCTCGCTCTCTTAGATCAGGGATGTCCCAGAGCTAATCTCATCACTGCTAATTACCGCCGACGAGAGCAGAAGAGCTCTGGCACTTGCCCTTCTGCATTATACAGCTGCTAACGGCGGCCCCCGTCCGCAGGGAACAATAATGTGTGTCTCCTGCATTTCACAGCACATTTCCTTGGCTCAGTGACCTTATATCAGAGAGGAGAAGCCTCTGCGAGCCCAGCACACGCGTGAATGAAGGAAGCCTTTCTGCTTTATTCATGTGAGGAGGCTGTCTCAAGATGCTGCCGGAGCCAGCCTCAAAGGGGACGGGGGAAGAAAGGAATTTCAGTCTGAATTCACTTTCAGCTTTCAAAGCGTGTGTGTATTCCTGTGGCTGTGCAAGCTGAAGTGAGAGCCGCCGGGGAAGGGAAAGAGGCACGTACGAGGGAATAAAGAGGAGATCCCTGGAAGGAAAACTGGCAGCTGCTGGAGGAGGAAGCAATCCTGCTTTCTTGTCCCTGGCTGCAGGAGTTTGGTGTCAGGAGAGGAAGGGAAGGGGTGATTTCTGAGCTGGAAGCCAGGTGAGGTACCTGGCACTGCGAGACCRTTCCAACCTGCAGACAGGAGCTCGTTTAGAGCCGCAGTCGGAAAGGGACGAAGAGCAAAGAGGGGAAAGCCCGTGGAAACCTTCCTCTGCTCAGACATGCTGAAATTCAGCCCTGGAGCTGCAAACTCCCAGCGGGAGATCTCAGCCCCTCTGCCGGCTGACAGCAGCCTGGGAGAGGAATTGCTCCGGGGGGAAAGCTGCGCATCTCTCCTGGCACAGAGACATCCAACCCTCGCCCAGACGGTGCACGGAGGGCAAAGAAAACCCTGACAAACTCGTGCTCYATGTGCAGCAAGGCAGAGACGAGCCCAGAGAGCATCTCTGAACAAGATATCCTGGAAATGCTGTGACTGCGCTGACACAGCTCAGGGGCGGCTCTGACAGRGCGCTGCTGCCTCAGCCGGGTCCTGACAGCCACGGAATGTCACCGAGGGGTGGGAGYAAACGAATGAAAATAGGAAGGAATGAAAACAGAAAGGAATGAAAATAGAAAGGAATGAAAAGGAGCCCCAGGGACTCCTCAAATGAAGAAATAACAGACACAGAAAGGTGGGTAACATCAGATCAGCTGGAARTGCCCGGGATGGGGGATGGGAGGAGGATGGGCGAGGTTTGGGACAGCAGGGGATGTTCCAGCCCTGACAAGGTGCCCCACAGGGAAGGCAGCTCCTCATTAGCTCCCTTTCCAGCGGAAGCTGCATCCTTATCACATCCCACAGATAACCCACAGGATGCTTTGAGTCCGGGAAACACACAGGGCAACAGAGCTGCACTGTATGGACAGGAGTGACCCAGAGCCCTGGAGAGAACACACACAGCATCTCCCCAGCTCACCCACAGCACCCTTCACCCCCTCCCCGTGCTCACCACCCCCCCATCCCGCTCTCACCTCCTCGAAGAGCTCCAGGCTGTAGGTGTTATCATCGTCAGCAAAATAAACGATGCCGGGCTGGCTGTAGTTCTTGTGGAAGGTCTCCCTCAGCCACCTGAGGGCCAGGTTCCTCTGCATGGTGCCGCGGGGGATGCGGGGGTCCCTCATGTCYCCGCGCAGTTTGTAGTTGCGCGGTGTCTCCACGTTGAGGTGGGTGTAGTTGAGGCCGGTGTCGCGCAGCAGGCGGGTGATGAGCGGCGTGCGGCGCTGAGAGTCCTCCACCAGGATCCAGTGCAGGTTGGGCACGTGGAGCAGCGTGTTGGCCAAACGGGTCAGCTCTGCCTTCTGCACCGGCCGGCTGTAGGTGGGGGTGACCACGTGGATGGTGGGCAGCGTGTCTGACCACGGCGGTGGACGCGTGTACACGTACTCTGTCCTCACCACCTCCACAATGTCCCGGTCCGACAGGCAGTATTCCTTGGAGTCCAAGCCTGCAGCGAGATCACGCTGGGAGTCACCACCATCATCTGGGCAAGGGCATGGAGAGAAGAAAAAGCCGCATGGGCTCGGGCGTCCGGCAGCGCCTGGCTCTGCTGCCAGGGGGTCACCCTCGGGGGGCGAGGACAGGCGGAGGCTTGTGTAAATCAGGACACGGATAAATAAAGGAATCAGGGTCGGACACACGTGAGAAAGGAAGATTCTGCTGCTAGAAAACCAGCACTGAGAGAGCCTGGRATACCTGGGCTGAGAGCTCACTACAAGAAGCTTCAAAAAGCACCCGGAATAGACAGGATTGTACAGCGAGTAGATCTGGATAAAGAGAATAGCAATGTGGATTGATGATCCATCATTCCTGAAGAGCTCCAGTGCTCTGGGCACCATGCTTGGTGGGGCAGGACTCAGCTCTGGGAAAAGCACTGCTCTTCCATGGCCAGGGATCTGGGATTATCGCCATGCTCAGTGAGGCAGAGATCACAGCTCTGGGAAAAACACTGCTCTCCCATGGCCAGGGATCTGGGATTATCACCACACTCGATGTGACAGAGATCACAGCTCTGGGAAAAGCACTGCTCTCCCGTGGCCAGTGATCTGGGAATTAGCACCACGCTCAGTGGAACAAGATCCACAGCTCTGCACCGGGCACTGGAGTGTCTGGGTTGGGAGATGGGAAATCACTGRTGGGAAACAGCAGGTCAGTGGAGACCCCCAGCAGYACAGTCTGGGCAGGGCACTGCAGTRCCCCACTGCTCCCTGACAGGCACAGATGGGCACAGAGAAGTGGGGAGAGACACACTTCAAACCCAGAAATGGAGAGGGGAAATTAAAGCTGGTATTTATGGGCTTTCTCCTGCAGAGGATTTCCCCTGCTTCTGACTAAACTCCCTCAAAAAGGCCCCTCCAGCCTCTGAACAGAACAGCCCACTCAGGGGGGCAGATGAGTACTGAAGAGCCTAAAGATCAGATACACTGATCCAAACTGATATAAAATCCCTGCAAACCGTCCCAATCAGCTCAAGGGAATGGTCCCAAGGTCCCAATCAGCTCAAGGGAAATCCAGTGTTGGTTCACCTGCCTCTTTTCCAGGGTGTGGCTCCCACGGTTCCCACTGGAGACCGGCAGGAATGGCAGAGATGAAGGGGGACCCCCATTCAGGATGCAAGCCTGCCTCTCCAGTGGGCACAGAACTGTCTGAGCCACAGATTTTGCAAAGTCAGGTAACTACCAGGAACTTGGGATGAGAAAGAGCAGGAACAGAGAGCCATTAGATCTGACCCAGCAGGGGATTAGCCATGGCTTTTTCAGAGTATGTTATTSTTCCAGCAGCACAGACTCTGATACCCAAACCACATGAAGGCTTCTGGTGCTCCATGACACTGACAGAGGTGGGGTGGGTATTTGGGGGAGGGAGGAGGGCACAGGTTGATATCAGACCCTGTRTAAGACAAAACTCCTCAGCATCACTCAGCAGAGCTCTCTGAGAGCAGAGCACACCAGAATCAGCTCAGAAATAAATCTGTGAAATGCATTGGATGCAGACACAAAAATAWCGAGCCAGGATGGTGCCTGAGAGAGTTTGCAAAGCCCTGCAGGTGAAAGTCTCAGCTGTGAACCCTGGCACGTGGAAGTTTTGCTGCTCTGGGCATCTCCAGGTGCTCATCTCTCCCAGCACCTTTTGGCAGGAGATCTCAGAAACGCTGCACAAGAACAAAATRATTCCCCTCGAGGGCTTTCAGGTTGATCTCTACCCCCACTCGCTTTCCACTGGGGGCCCTGAGAAGCAGAGAAGTGTCTTCTTAGCAAGGTTGTTGGTGAGTTCTTGACCGAGTCATTGGAGCAATCTCTGTGCTGGAACTGCTGTGGCCATTCACAGAAAACAGCTTTTAGGGCAGTCAATCAAATTGTACAGACAGGCAAAGTCTGTAGTGTAAAATTCACACTACAGCAGTAGTGCAAAATCTGCGTAGTAAAATTTACAATTAAAAAAATTAAAATTTGTAGTAATTTAAAGTTCTGTTTTAGAACCTGGTAGACCCATCATCCTTTGAAACACCATAAAAACCTTTGAAACATCCCTTCCAGAAGGGATCACAGTCAATTTTTTTCCTGCCCAGAGCCTCAAGGGTGGCTGTTAGGAGAAAGGGAAAGCTGCTTGGGACAGGCTGAACTTCCTACAACTCAAACTGCACATCAGAGTGTCCAACAAAGGGATAAGCAGCTGCACAGGATGGGGGCAAACATTAAAAGGGGAGAGAATTCCCCAGAGAAAGACACCAGAGAGACCGGAGAGGATGAGAGGGACCTGAAAATGGGCTGGCCTTCTTCCCCCAGGCCAGCCTGCCCACAGGAGAAAGGCAGAACCAAGAAGGAATGCAGCAGAAGGCAGAGCCCACAAGAGGTCCCACAGCCCTTAGATATCACTGCAGTGCCAAGAACAGGACCAAACCAGGATGCTTCTGGCCAAAAGGGCTCTCTCAGCACTTCCTACAGCCCCCTGACTTGGGCTGTGTTTACTGCAGCGTGGAGTTGACTTTTTATAATTTTGTAACTCCCCCAGCCAGGTGAGATCTGGTTCTCACCTTCTCCTTCCAGCACAAGAATACAGCTTTTCTGCTTTCCCTAAAAAGTGAGGCTCTCACCCTCACATGTCCCAGAGCAGCTGCCYCGAGTGGCAGCTCAGCTCTGTTTCCTCCGCTCCCCCTGCTGCAATAATTCAATGTGCAGAGCCCTGCGAAGGCCATCAGGGAGGAGATCCTGTCTCAGGGAACGAGGAGAGGCAGCGCTCCGGATCTGGGCTGTGAAGAACTCTCCGAGTGCAGCGAGCACATCCCAAGTTTGGAGTTTGATGCCTSTGAAGAAGCCCTGCGAGCGCTGGGCCGCTCCTACAGCAGAGGTGGGCATGGTCTGGGAGCTGAGATGAGCATGGCTGCCATGGAAGAATGGAATGAGAGAGGAGATGAGCACGAAGGGGGGATGCACGGGCTTGGCATGGGCTCGGTTTGGTTTCTCTCACCCTTGTGCACTGCCAGCAGGGGAGCAATGGTGCTCTGGTGCCACACGGTGATTAGCAGTGTCCAGGGCAGAACTATCAGCACGATAGCCAGGATGTCTCGTCTCTTCGGCATCTCCAAGACTGACTGGACCCACAGCTCCTCATTACCTGACAGTGAAAACCCCAGAGACAGAACAGCAGAGCACATGGAGAAGAGAAATAAATGGGCAGGAAGGAGCGAGGACAGAGAGAGAAAACGCGAGAGAGGGAGGAAGGGAGGGAGGGAGCAGCGAAGGCACACGACTCGAGGGTCTTACCCGTGCTTACAACCCACCCATTGCAGAAGCAGGTTTGGAGGGGCCTCGGCTGCTGAGCCCAGGAGCAGCGGGGCACTSGGGCAGGGCTGGAGCTGCCAGCAGGAGCTCAGGGACTCACGTGGAACCAGACCTGAAACACAGAGCACAGCGGGTAGGCAGAGAAAGTGCCGAGATCCCAAATCCTCCTGGAGAAGGACAAACCCCCCTGGAGAAGGCAGAGAGCRGCAGCGATGTGTCCCACCCCTCCARGGAAMTGCCTCCTGCGTGTCCAGGGYMTCGCTTTCCCTCTGCATCCCCTTGTAAACGAGTTCCCCTTATCAGCCGAGCAAAAGGTGCTCGGTGCCGCGGTGTCACAGCTCTTCCCCACGATCCAGCCATGCCCAGTGACAGAGCAGAGATGACCACAGCCCTGCCTGACACCTCARCACCCGCTRTGACCCCCCAGATCCCCTCCCTTRGCCAGCCAGAGCTCTCGGGGTGGCTGCCCATTTCCTTTTGAGAGTCCCCACATTTTCCCCACCAGCATCCCCTGGGCTCACCCCACCCCGATGGCATCCCCACCGCAGCCCGTTTCACTCAGCCTTCCAGCAGCCTGCTCAGGTTCGTTCCCTCTCCGAGGTGCAGTGCCTGGAGTCTATTAAAGTGCCACGATGGCTTAGTTTGATGCGACACGAGCACATACAAGATTTAAGCCGGCTGTGTCTCGCCCCGGCGAGCAAAGCGCAGCACTTAGCGGGGCTGCCTCGCAGCGGGGGCAGTTTGCAAACACGGGCAGCAGTTTAGAGYCACCGATCCCCGCGGGGGAACGCATTAGAGGCTGCTAAAAGGGCTGCAGGGCGGGCAGGGAGAGCCCAGGGATCCTGCAGAGGGAGGCGGGGAGCGGGATGCTCTGGGAAAAGCGCTGCTCTCCCACTGCCAGTGATCTGGGAATTGTCAGATCTTCTCTTAAATCACAGCTCCTCAAGCCTGGGCTCTTGCAGCCACGCCGCTGTGCAAATATTTTCCCAGAGCTGGCTTTTCCTTGGTTGCRCGGGGCACTGATGGAGAAATCCATGTTCAGATCCCTGATTAGCCCAAATTGGATTGATYTGAGTTTCCCTTGGCCACTGGGCTGTACAGCCAGCCCCCGGCACCGAGCCCACTTGGAGTGAAACGCCTCCAAGAGCTGACAGCTTTTTCCTCTGAAGGAATCTTGCAATCAAGCGATATTCAARTGGCTGGACAGAACCCGGCTCTTCCAAATTAGCACTTCAATCACAGAAATATTAATTTACCAGGGAAAACAAGAGGGAAGGAGGACATAGRTTGGACTTAAAAGTCCTTAAAAGTGACATGTAAACGTTCTTCATCTAAAGTTTTAGTGAATACTTTTTTTTTTTTTTTGCACACATACAAAGCCCAGACTCATARAAAAATTTCCAGCCAACTGCAGCAAACAGCCAGTTCCCCAAACAGCTCTCTCATTTTTGTTTCAGAATTGGTGAAAACAGCCTCATTCAGACAAAATAAACCAGGGAGGAAGAGGAGGAATTATTCCAGCAAGCATCAGCCTTCTGCTGCTTCCCTGTCCAGCTCTTGGAGCCAGAGAAATCCCACTKGTCTGGCTCTGCCAAAGCACAGTGCCCTCAGGAAAGAGCATCTGGCCCCATCCCTGCTGTCCCTGCGGCTGCTGACCGTGCCTGAACAGAGGACACAGAGTGTTGGCATCCTTGCAATCCTCTGATAAAGCAGGAACACGTCCCTTGAGCATCCCTGTGGGGCAGGGCTGCAAGGGGCAGCTGGAAAACCTGAACACCTGAGCCAGTGCCTTCCCTGGAAACGCACCGAAGACAGGATTGTGCTGCTGGAGAGGGGCTGGGAGCAAATGACCCTTCCAGAGACAGAGAATGTTCCCCTCCATGGACAGGGATTCTCCCCTTTCATAGACAGGGAATGTTCCCCTCCAGGGACAGTGAGTGCTCCCTTCCAGGGACAGGGAATTTTCCTTTCCATGAACAGGGAATGTCCTCTTCCAGAGACAGAGAATGTTCCCCTGCAGGGACAGGGAATTTTCCCCTCCAGGGACAGGCTGTGCTCCCTTCCAGGGATGGGGAATGTCTCCTCCATGAACAGGGAATGTTCTTGTCCATGGACAGGGAATTTTCCCCTCAAGGGACAGGCTGTGCTCCCTTCCAGGGATGCAGAATGTCCCCTCCAGGGACAGTGAGTGCTCCCTTCCCTGTCCCCCCCGAGCTGGCTGAGCTTTGCTTGCACCATCAGCGCTTCTGGGCTGGAGATGCGACTCAGAAGCAGTGGCTGCAATCAATGTCCCCGAAGGGACACGGCCCCAAGGTGGGTCCCAGAGGGTGATGATGGACTGGGAGGGATGTGGAGCTGAGCCTGACCCCCAGTTCTGGCCACGCTCTGCACCCTGAGCTGCCCAGCAAGATCCAGGGAGTACCACGGGCTCTGCTCTGCAGCAAAGGCATTTACAACTGAGAATTCCTGAAGGGATTGGCTGTTATTGATGATTCTGGCTGATGGACATGGCAAGAATTCCTCTGGGGCTGCTGTGAGCACGGTGAAATCTCCATCCAGAGTGTTTCCCTCTCAACACCCTGGTGCCACRGAGGGCCTGGCTGTGAGGTGACACCAGCTATCAGTGTCACAMAGCCACACTCCCCATCGCTGCCAAAGGTGAAATCCGTTGCTCCTGTGAACAGCATCAGCCAGGAATTACATGGAGCCTGTGATTTTACACTGCTGGGGAGAGGAGTCACAGCTTCACAGCCCGAGACACAGGGCTTGCCCTAAATCCCAAAATTCCCTCCTTGCCAAAGCCAGACAATGCTTTTTGTTGYTGTTTGTGGCACGAGCCGAAAATGATGGGGAAAATGATGCTCCTCTTCAAGGCATTCACTCTTTATTCACCCCTTTCCCATCACAMCACCACTCTACTTTTCCCACCGAAAATGTTCCAAACAAACCCTGCTTGGTTCAGATTGTCAATTTGAAGCTTCTGCTGTCCCCCCTTCCCCAGAGAAATGAAGGAGGAGGAACAAATTCAAATATTAATTAAAAAGAATAAACTCCATTTTCCACTACAGAAAGTATCCTGCTTTTTTTTTTTTTCTCCCAGTTTAGAAAAGTGAAGTGAAAGACACAAATCAAACATGAGTGATTTTGAGGTTAAAGCACTCCTAAAACAAAGGAGTTTTGCACGGTTTTGGGAAGAATCGGGTGCCACGTGATGAAAGAGATCCCCATCCTCCGGCAGAGGGCAATGGTGTCGAGGAATGACAATATGGAAAGGGCACTGATCTAATAAAAAAAAAGCTTTAATAAATCCTAGAGCCACGTGTCAGCAACACGCTGGATTATTAAACACGGAAGGTTCTTTTTTTAAATCAAGTTAATTGGCAGCAGCCCTGACACTTGCCATAGGAACGGCTGATTTGATCTGCAACCTTTACAGTCAGTTTTACCTTCATTCCTCCTTTGGGGCTGCTCAGCCCCACTGCCRTTAATCCTTGGTTTGCCCACATTGAAGAGAAGCGATTTAGAAAACGTTAAACWAAAGAAKGGCTTGATTTGAATTTGTACATATGCATCTCGCTGGAGTAAAAACATTGTCTGCATGTAAAAAAAAAAAAACAAAAAACCAAAACCACACGCTTTGAAAATCCCCAAAGAAACGCAGCAAACGCTTCGTTGTGCTCCAAACCAGCCAGGAAATAACAAACAAATGCTGCCAAAACCTGCARCAAAAGCTTTACAGAGAAAATAAACACTCACACTTCAGGATATTCTCACCAACAGCTTTTCCCTCTGGGCAAAGTATCCCCAAAATCCAAACACAGGGTTCCTTTCYCTTTGGCAACAGCAGCTGGGTGTGATCCCTGCTGAAAAATGATGCTGGGGTGGCACAAGGCAGAGCTGGTCCACATCCTCTGTGACCTCAAAAAAACCCTTCTGAATTCACACCCGAGCTCAGCCAGACTGAAAACAACCCCAGGGATGTCCTGCCCACTTCCCAGAGRGGGAAACTGAGGCACGGGGMGGTCACAGCACAGCAGWCGATGGGGACAAAGGTGGAWCAGGAGCAGGGGTCAGGTTGGGTGGGGTTGGGAGCAACCTGGGATAGTGGAAGGTGTCCTTGTCCATGGAAAAGGGGGGRATGAGATGGRCTTTRAKGTCCCTTCAACCCWAATAATTCTGCAATTCTGAGGTTCTGTGTCAATTCCGAGGTGCTCCCCACACATCCCCGCTCCTTTCCACGCTCCTCGACAGGGTCTGGGCACTCCAAACCGAAGATTTTTGGTGTTTGGCAGAACAGGCTTGTAAAGCACAGGCTAAAAATAAAGGTAGCAATAAAAGCCTCTTGCTCGTTAATTACTCTGTAAGCCATTACTGCCTAAAAACCCCATAACTTTAATGGGGGCTATTATAAGTATAGTAGCAAAACTGTGGAGCTAATTACTGTTTAGTTATTAAGCAGAACATAGCCAGAACCGAGTAATGAGCACACAGAATCGCTTCTTCTTCGAGGATTTCATCAGGGCTGGCATTTTCAAGCTCGGATGCTCCCAATCCAGGGACAAAAGGACAGAGGATTTTGGGGTCAGCCCTCCCAGGCAGCTGCGAGGGGCAGGGACCATCCCTGAGCTGATGTGGGCAGCACAAACCTCRGWGTTCAAAGGGAGGGAGAATGGTCARGAATGTTTCAGAATTCCAGYAGAATTCTTCCAGCTACAGGAGACTGGGATTCATCCATGGGAATCCAAATTTTGGGCCAACGCTGCGATGAAGGGTGAGGGTTTGTATCATCTCTTCAACCAAAATTTGTTTCCTTCTTTTAAAAATTAAAATAATTCCTATGGCCAAAAATACA